GGTCATTAAATATTTTGATCAATTCCAAATCCCAGAAAACAAGAATGACGTATTTACGCAAGAAATTAATAAATTAGCGTTTTAAGATTATGAGTCATTTGCAAGAGATCATATAACTAATTACAAGGTTGCAGGTTTCTCGTTGACCTCCCCCACCTTCTTCATTTTGTTTTTTCACCTTTTTCTTTGGTATAATCTCTTAAATACCAAAAGGGTCTAATTCAAATTCAATTCTGGGATTGGATTTTTCTTCGATTTCACTGTAAAGGTACGAAATTTTGTTCCTTTCTCCTTCTAAAAATCTAATCTTTTTCAATTTCTTTAACAAGTTTGTATTTTTAGATACTATTTAGTCAATTCAAGGTTTTGGGTTATTCGAAATTCTTGATGGGTATTTTCATGCACGCCTTTGCAGGTTCGTATTGAAAAGGGCAAAACAAAAACAAAATCAATTTTTTTAGTTGTTGTTTTCTTCCTTTGAAAACGATTTTGGTTGATGACGTCATCGGTAATTGTTGGTGAGAATGAAGAGGATCCATTCACAAAACCACTTGGTAGATTGTCTGTGTTCTACTATGGAGTTGGACATATGCTTAATGACATTACTGCTTCTTGTTGGTTCACTTATCTCCTCTTGTTTTTAACCCAAATTGGTCTCTCTCCAAGGTAATAAGAAATTCTCCTGAATTTTTTGTAAACAATTTCTCCATTAGTGAAATTATTGAGTTTTGTTTTTTGTTTCTTGTGTAGGGATGCTGCAATTGTCATGCTCTCTGGTCAAGTTGCTGATGGTTTTGCTACTGTCTTCATTGGTGAATTGGTAAAACCAAAAAAATTGGATCTTGAATGTTTCAATCACGCAAAAATTTGTTATAGTCTCATGATCTTTGTGTTATGGTAATGCTTGAAGGAAGAATATGCAATGTAATAGTAATCTCACATCTCTGTCTTCTGATCATTGACAGATTGATAGATTTGGGCATTTCAAAATTTGGCATGCTGCAGGATCTATATTAGTAGCTATCTCGTTTTCCTCGGTTTTTGGCGGTTGTTTGCCATGTTCAATCCTCAATAGTAGCTCTTTAACGGTCGAAACAATATCGTACAGTATGTTTGCAGCTATCTTCAATATAGGATGGGCTGCTACTCAGGTTTCCCACATGTAAAACAATAATTTCTCTTTTAATTCAATCTTCTCTTTTGGTTAAATCTCAAATTTACTCGGTGAGATATTCGTTTTCATGATCTTTTTATGTTCTTTAGGGCTATGGTCAATTGTATTACATTGAATTCAACAAGCAGAGTAGCACTAACAAGCTCCCGTAACGCGTTTAGCATGGTTAGCTCTTTTCGCTTGGTCTTCTTGTAATGCCTTTTCGGTTTATTCTTAACTTCTCCATCAACTGTTTTATTCAGGTTGCTAATTTAGGCTTATACGCGATTGCTTTAGTTGTATTTGGTGTTAGCAAAGCTGAGACAAAAGAAAATACCGAAATCCAGGTTTGTGCCTTTTATTGAATGTTTTTGCATATGTATATCAAAGTTAATGCCTTTCGATATGATTCTAAGTCCCACCATAAGTATACAGTATCGTTGGATTGCTTATTCATGCATCACCGTTGGCTGCTGCTTTGTGGTTGTATTTCTTATGGGGACTAAGGAACCACGGTATGCACACTTTGCTGTGAAATACTGAAATCAAGTTTTACCGAAGTTTCATGCACGATAGATGATAGAATGAGTTAGTTTTGTTTTATTTTCAAAGGACGCGGATAAATTTAAGAGAAACTAGCAGAGCAAGAACACCGTGGACTTATTGGTTCCGTAAAATTCTATATTATCAAGTCGCTATGGTTTATCTCCTCACCAGACTAGTATTGAATGTTTCACAGGTCAGTTTCTGTATCTTTTATTGGCTTCTTTTTGTACTGGATCAATACTTACATTTCATGATGACTTTAATATTCTCAGGCATATCTTGCATTCTTTGTTATTGATGATTTGCAAATGGCTCAATCCGCTAAAGCTCTGGTAAGTGAAATAGAATCACTGCAATAAGCTTTCGTCTATATGATCATCAAACTTGTCTGAACAATTTATAATTTCAGATTCCTGCAATAATCTACATCTGCAGCTTCATTGTATCGGTTATGCTTCAGGTACAACAAGTTTAAACGCATTTGTCTTCTTACGTCTGTAAAATATTTTCCTTTTTCCCGGCTATTTAAGTACTATATTCATATTAATGTAGGAGATTCCATGGAATGGAAAACGCCTCAAGGCGTATTATTGTGCTGGTGGTATTATTTGGATATTTTGTGGTGTATCAATCCTCTTATTGCCTCGAAGCATTAACTCTTTCATGTATGCGATCTCTATATTTATCGGCATCGCGAATGCATTAATTCTGGTTAGGAATTTTCTTTGCTATATCTGAAGTCTTCATGTGTTAAAAAAATACATGTTCATGTTACCTAAAGATCTGTCTTTCGATGAATCATTATTTAATAGGTGACGGCAATCAGTATGCAGAGTGTGTTGATTGGTTCGGAACTCGGTGGATGTGCATTCGTATGTGGGTCATTAAGCTTCTTAGACAAAATGTCATGTGGGCTTGCTTTATATGTTCTTCAGTCACACCAAAGTAAGTTTTCTTTTTTATTTTCTAGTACTGTCATAATATCGATAGATCGTTGATCGATGTGTGTATTTGGGAAATGGTGCAGGCGCTTCACCAAAAATCGATGTAAACATCAAACAAAATTTTTACTTTTCGGTGACAAGATATGGGTTAGGACTTGTTCCAGCTGTTTGCTCACTTGTTGGAGTCGTTGTAACGTATATTATGGAACTCGATAGCACCATTCTAAAGCCTCTGTGTCAACCGCTACTACTAGAATGAACAGAAAGGAAGAAGATATGCATTGCTTCTGGTCTGGTAAACACATGATACAAACTGGTTATATTTTTTAGTCTTCTAATTTTTTTTTTGTTCATAAGGATAAGTTTAGTTCACACACTACCACAGGCAAAACATTTGTACCAGATTTACTAAAAGTCTGAAAAAATTAATGCAAAGTTGATTTTTTTAGTTTGTCTACTCTTTCGTCTTTTGTTGTGGTGAATTTAGTTCTTTCAATTGGGTCTACTTCTCTGGCTTCTTGAGACCTGGAAGTTGAATGCTGATAAAAGAGTAGTTAAGTAATCTTTACTTAGATAAAGTGACAACAAACAGAGCACAGAATAAGTAGAGTAGAGAAACTGATAAAGAGAAAGCTAAGCAAATAAAGAAACAGAACTGCTGAAAACAGAGCAATACAAAACAAAACTGATCAAGTAATGAAAACAGAGCACGAGAAAACAGAGTAAGGGAAAGAAACAAAGGAATCAAAGCCCTTTAGGCACATGGATACGATGAACAAAACGATGTATTTTTACTCTGACTCCGAGTTTAGAGACTCCTTCATCACCGTCGAGTCTAGTAATCAATCCCGGAAAATTTTCATTCGCAAGAGCTCCGGTGAAAATGGAAGCAAGCGAAGTCAAGAGCAAGAAACCAGGAGCCTCTCGTCTCTTCTGCTTATGCAACCAGAGACGTCCGGTCCTGAAACGACCCAAAACCATCCAACAGGTAAGCTTTCGAAATCTCGTGTTTTGGGGTTTAATCTAAGATTTTAAGGAGAAGCTTGGAACAACTTCGATACTGTAAAGTTCGAGTCTTTATGAATCCAAAACCCTTCCATTTGTTTGGATTATGATCTCTATTTAGAATCTGATCAAAATTACATTTGTTTGGAAAGTGACGATCTTTGGTTTCTGAGTCTCTTGCTAGTTGCTGTTGTTTCTTCTTTCCGTGTTCTGTATTGTGTGTTTAAAGATATGCAGAGAGTGCTCCTATGAGGTTTTTGAGGATGAGATTCATCAAGTAATTGTTGAGAATCGATTATTCAAATCCGGTGAACGTGTTGCTATAGGTGCCTCTGGTGGTAAAGGTAATTGCTTCTCTTTCAAATTTCTAAACTGTTTACGAATGCGAATTCATCGTTTCTTGATACTATCTTTCAAATTTCTAAACTGTTTACTATCTTTTTCTTGATAATATCTGTTTGATGATCTGAAGGCACTTGATCAAGGAGCTGCGTTATTGAAAGTAGATAAGCTAGTCACTGGACATAACGCAGATGATATAGCAGAGAGCCAGAGACCGTTCTCTTGAATATACTGCGAGGGGATATCGCTAGGTAAGTATTTCTTGATATTGAAAAATCTCTCTCGTTCCTCAATCCTCGGTTAATTGATTTTTGTTGCATTGGCTACTGTAGGTTAAGTCGGTGCACATCGATTACTATTGGTGAAGATGGTCCCATTCCAAGATGTAAACCTTTCAAGTATACATACATACGAGAAGGAGATTGTCATATATCCTTCACTGCTAAATTGTGTTCACTGTAACTTGTCAACAAAAGAAATTCTGATACCTTAACATCGTATATACGTATGCTTATTTCAAGAAGCTGGACTACTTCTCCACTGAATGTAGAAGTAGGTTTTTTCGAAATTTTGTAGGTTTTTTTCTCTCTCTGTTCTTGAATTTCATTTTAGCAGATCTCTGGTTGTTTTAATGGCTAACTAGTCTCTCTCTCTCTCTCCCAATCCTTACTTAAGCGACTAATTGAATTTGCAGGTATATACTCTCCTAATGCCTATCGTGGCTGTGAAGGTTAGTTTGAATACTATCTTTGCTTTACTAAGAAGATATAATGTAACCGTTGGGAGGAAACAAGTCTTCGTCATTGGTCAACTCAGTTCTAAGGGTCAATTGGCAAAGACATGTTTCCAAGCAGAAGGTTTCATTATGAAAGAATACAGTAAAGACTGTGGTTGTATCAGAGGGTTCTAGTGATAAGGTTACTCTTTGCAGGACCACTTCTCTCTCTCTCTGCAAATTGTTGCAGGATGTACAAGAATCTTGAGAGCTTGGGAGGAGACACAATTTCGCAGGCCTGCATTGCCGTCTCTTGCCTAGTTTTCAGTGTATTCTAGGAGACATAGAAGCTTCAATCATGGTAAGCTTTATCTTGGCAACCAAGTCGGTTTACTTGTCTATAAGTAGAGCCAAGTTGTCTTCTTGATTTGTACGAGTGTGAACAGA